ATTTTTGTACTTTTGCTTCGAAGAGAGCCCTAAATCGCTTAATCAGATGGAGTCAGGAAATGTTTAAAATGTTGAGTGGTTTCAATACGAAACTTGCACTTAATTTTTAAATTTTGTGCAAGCATGTGCAGTAGCCAAATTAAGTCAAAACAGTTAGGGCTAACTGTAGAGCGTAGTGTGTCGTTAAAGTCTTTTGAAATTAAATTAATAAGTTTTTAATTCATTAATTTTTTTGATAAAGTTTAATAAAGTTTTTGTTTTTGATTTTTATCTGTACAATATCTTGCTTGAAAGTTTTTAGTCTTGCTTTCTTGATAAGTTATGGTCCTTTTTAAGGTACTTACATTTGTCTATGTTATTTGTAAGTATTTTTCCCAGTTTTGCTTTCACATGTTGGTGGACTTTTTCAAAAGACACATTCTCCTTGTCTTATGAAATGTTTAAAAACTCCTGCATCTGAAAGTTTGTGATATTCAGACTTTGTACAACTTGAAAGCTGTTCATACATTGAATGACTTGTTAGCTGTTCATACATTGTGCCACTTGAAAACTCTAATTATTGCTGTCTATCAGTTTATCAGGCATTCTTGTCTTGATGTTTTGTTGATATAAATGTGCTTATTGTGATTTTATAGGTTCATTTGACTCCTTCTTATTTGGGGATTACAAGAATTAAGAGCAATTTTTCCCTAGCAAAATATATGTACTCAAAGTTGCCTTTTCACGCCCTACTACTAAAAATTTATTTTAGCAAAAAAGTTGAAATGTTGTCTGCCAAGTCAACTTGTACACCTAAACCATTTATTATCTTTATATTTTTCTTTGTTTTCATATTCTTTTCCATTATTATTAATTTTTACTTCACACACATTAATTATCAAACTAAACTATGGTTTTGTTAAAATAAGATATAGTGGCCTTTTTAAATTGCTTTTTCTTTGTAACTAGTTTCAATTTAATTTAGTGCTTTTAGTTTCTTTTTTCCATGTGTTTAAAGGGACAAATTGTATTTTCAAAAATACTTGTGACACTTTTATTTCATTTTTAGAAGCTTTGTGTTGGCAGCATACTAGACAAATTTTGTTAAACAGAGTTTGCTTAACAGCAGTTGGTTTTTAATGAAATGAAGTTAGGAGCACATGTTTTTATTTTTAAACAATTATATTGAGAAGATTTGTTAGCAGGAGAGATAAGATGGGTGTTTGTAAATACTATTTTAGATGAAGAAAACTTTTTCTTTGCTTCTATAGACATACTAGTTTAGCATAAGTTTTGTTTCTTTTTAAATTTATTTTGCCTAATCAAAATTTTATGAAATTGTATTTTTCTACACTCTGTTGTTCATTCTTAAATATTTTACTTATAATCTAAATAAACTCAGTGTTTTGATGATGTCATTGTATTCTGATGATGCCATTGTATTCTGTAAATAAAAATCAAATAAAATAGTATTTTGATTTGATTTAAACAAATATTTATTACAAAGTATTTTTATTAACTATAATCTTTCATTTTCTGTTTTTATGCTCATAATTTTGTGAAACATATAAAGGTAACTTAAGCATAATTTTTAGAAGACTAGGTTAAACAATGAGTTTTAAAATAACTTGTAGTGCTACAAATTTTGTAAAAAAAAAACAACAATTATACATAATAGTTTTTTTTTTTTAAATAACAAAATTGGTTGAACAAAAATATTGGTGGTTTCACAAAAGTATTGGTGGTTTCACAAAAGTATTGGTGGTTACACAAAAGTGTTGGTAGTTACATAAAAGGTTGGTGTTTACATAAAAGTGATGGTAGTTCTACAGTGGTGTTAGTGGTTGCACAAAGGTGTTGGTGGTTCCACAAAAGTGTTGGTGGTTGCATTAAGATGTTGGTGGTTGGACAAAGATATTGGTGGTTGCACAAAGGTGTTGGTGGTTGCACAAAGATCTTGGTGGTTGTACAAAGATTTTGCAATATGGCATAAAGTTAAAGTAGATTTAACAGAATTAGTTAAATTTACATTTTTAAACAATTTTACAAATTAAATTATAAAAAACAATAGTGTAAAATTACAAATTAAATTATAAAAAACAATAGTGTAAAATTACAAAGTAAATTATAAAAAACAATAGTGTAAAATTACAAAGCAATAACTTTTAAATTTTATTTATTAAATCTATTTTTTAAAGTATGCTATAGTTTATTTGTAAGAAAAAATGTGTTAATGTTTTGTTGTTTTTTGCTGCAAATTTTGTTTAAAAAATTATATCAATTTTTTTTGGAAAAGAATTTATTGACAAGTTGTTTATTTAGGATTTCTTTTGTGATTGGGATGAAGATTTATTAAAGTGCACAAGGAAGGAACTTGTCCATGCTTCATCAAACTGCAGTTCATGCAACAAGTAAAAATTTTTTTTAAAGTTTTTCTCCTAAGTAATATATTTAGTGTTGCAAATAGGGGTTGTAATACTGGCTTACCTGATTACCAGTTTATGGGTAAATAGCTAATTATTATTTTAGTAAATTATTTGTCTTAATTACTATTTATATATTTTGCAAATTATTCTGTTATTTAAAAAAAACATATAATATCTCAATTGAGTTTTAAATAAAGTATACTTACAATATTGTAATTAAAAGTTGAATAAAGTGAGAATAGAATACTTAAAGTTTTGAGGTTAGCATGAAATACTGTAATTTGATGTTGGATAGAGTGAACATGAAATAATTTAATTTAAAGTTAATATAAAATATAGTTATTTGGGTTTTTAATTGGATAAAATTGGATGTTGAAACATATATCGCAAAGTTAATTTTATTAACTTTGTTTATTAGACAAGTTTGCTGAAATGTTTAGTTCAGGGTTGGATTGTATTACGTTGTTGTCTTTGTGTGCTGGCAAAGTTGACAAAGCAAAAGTTAAATGGGGTTAAGTGCAACATAGATGAAATACTGTTTTTTGATACTGATAGTTGCCACAAACATGTGAATAAATTGGATTTGGGTTTAAATGACATCATTACTATTCAACCAAATGTTGATAATTCATCATTACTATTTAACCAAATGATGATAATTCATTATTACTATTCAACCAATGTTGATAAATAAAGGAAAAGCTTTAGACTCTTCCATTTCTTCATTGAACCTGAAAGAATAACATTTCTCTAACAAGCGTTGAACCTGAAAGAACAACATGTCTTTAATGTTGAACCTGAAAGAGTATTTTAGAACCATTGAGCTTTAAAATTAAATCTTGTTTAGGAGATCTCGATAAACATTACATCTTGATAAGACATTGGATGATTTAAGCCTTTAAAGAAGATGCTTTTTAAAAAAAATAGTATTTAATAAAAATGGTACTAGGTTGCTATATCTGTATTATTTTATTTATGTTCAAAATTTTACCTGTAGTTTACCTGTATTTCAATTTTCATTTGTCCAAATTATTGGTAAATGAAAAAATCAGTAAATTTACAAAGCCATATGGTAAAGTTTAATATTAATTTAAACACTTTTAATTGTACACAATATAAACAAACTTTATTTTGATAACTATTTACAAAATTTACACATGATTCTGATAATTATGCCTAAAATAAGCTTAGTACATATTATTTTGATTTATTTGCATATATATGTAGATCATATACAAGATTAACAATGTTGTTAGGCTTAAGTGCCTTAGAGGTAGTTCGTTTGTGTACAAGGCACAAATTATTTAAAGAAGTTTAATTTTCCTATGAATCCTCCTTTTCTGGCCTAAAAAATGAATATAAGTTTGTTATCTCATAAATCTTACATTTAAATATATTTATTTTCAAATAATTACCTGTATTTATCATCAATCATTTACCTGTACACATCAGTTGTTTACCTGTATTAACATTATCACAGCTAATAACAACAAGAGTTTTTGTATATTTATACAACATGGGATTCTATTTCATGTTGTATAATCCATATTTATAAATGTTTTGCTATATGCTCTGTTTTTGTATTAAAATAATTAAAAATAATAATTTTCTTTTTGTTTATAAAATGATAAAGATGAATAATAAAAAAATAAAGAACCACCTGCACAAAAATGGTCTTTTTGTGCAACTTTCTGCTACAAAAAATTGTCTTTTCTTTGGTCAAGCTTTATACATTCAAATAAATTTTTATATACATCTCTGTTATATTCAAAATACAAAGAGATTGTAAAAAAATTTAAAAAGAGTTAACTTCTTGACTGTCTCGCCAGATCTTTTTTTTATTAATAAATATTATACAGAATAAGAACAAATGTTCTGCTGCTTTTTTGTTTATCCTGTCAAATTATTTATTTTTAGATTTATAATTATAAATACACCACAAAAACATATTATGCATTTATACCTATAAAAATATATTGGTTTAATTAAAATGAGTCTTAAGCAATAATTTAAATTTTTAAAAATTTAACTTACTTGTATCACTTAATGGTAGATTATTATAAATCTCAGGTTTTATATAGTAAAATTATTTATTTACAAATTTTAAGTTTATCAATTAGCAAGTCATAATGAAAGAATAATGAATTACAAGTCATTATAAAGTTATCATTAGGCGATCAGTAATTTATTATCAATTAAAATTTTTCATTTTTAATCAAATTTATTATTAATTAAAAGTTTAGTTTATAAATTCAATAATTATTATTATCAAAGCAATTAAATATTTAACAGTGTTAAACATTATATTTGATTAAACAATCAACTGTGTTGCTTGCTGTTATTGTACTTAAAATAATAGTTTATAATTTTATTATTTTAATGTTGTTGTTTTAATTATTATTAATATTTTTATTATAGTTATTGTTACTGTTGCTATTGTTATTGTTTAAGTTGTTGTTACTATAGAAAATCAACAATAGAAGAATGTTTAACTGTTAAACATTGTATTTGGTGCTCTGAAAAAAAGAAGTGTTTGTATAACTTTCAAGTTGCTATGCAAAATAAATATGGAGAATGCAGAACTGTGTATGATGGGTAAAAAAATTTTCATTTGTAAATGATTACTATTTTTGAAAATTTAAAAATTTCTTTTATTTTAATTGTTTAATTGGCAGGTGATTGAAGGTTATTTTAATTGGCAGGTGATTGAAGGTTATTTTAATTGGCAGGTGATTGAAGGTTATTTTAATTGGCAGGTGATTGAAGGTTATTTTAATTGGCAGGTGATTGAAGGTTATTTTAATTGGCAGGTGATTGAAGGTTATTTTAATTGGCAGGTGATTGAAGGTTATTTTAATTGGCAGGTGATTGAAGGTTATTTTAATTGGCAGGTGATTGAAGGTTATTTTAATTGGCAGGTGATTGAAGATTTATTTTAATTGGCAGGTGATTGAAAATTTATTTTAATTGGCAGGTGATTGAAGATTTATTTTAATTGGCAGGTGATTGAAGATTTATTTTAATTGGCAGGTGATTGAAGATTTATTTTAATTGGCAGGTGATTGAAGATTTATTTTAATTGGCAGGTGATTGAAGGTTATTTTAATTAAAAGTAATCAAATAAATAAGAGCTTTTACAAAAAAAATAAAATACAAAACAAAAATATTTACTTTTAAGTATATATATTTATTTAAAAACTTTGGCATATAAAATTCGCCGAATGGTCACACACGAGCAGTGAACGCCTGAGGGAAGAAATGAAGTACATTAGAATAAAGGAGAATTATTTATTAGACAAAGCATATTTTGACAGTTGTCAAGACAAAAATAAAGATTAATAGAGGAATATTTAAAAATAAGTAAGACAAGCTATACAACCAAAACAGTACTCAACCATAATAACAATAAAAAAAAAAAAAAAAAAAAAAAATAATAATAATAATAAAAATAAAAATTAAAAAGAATAAAAACAAACAATAATAAAAAATATATATATATATATAAATAAAAAATAAAAAAATTGTTTTATAAATACCAATATGAACTAAAATATACAAGAAATACATAACCAGTCAACAATTTGTAAAATAAAAAACCATTCAACAAATTAAAAATATGCTAACAACAATGAAAGGACTAATAATGGAAAAAAAATATTAATGCTAATGTGTAAACATAATTAGTGTAGTGATAAGTAATAAACATCTCCTCAGAGTCGCGTCTATTATTACTGGCGTTTCGATGAGGATCAGCATTTATAACTAGTTTATCCCGTCAGACAAACGTCATCGCCACTTATGCTTTACCCCGCGACTTACGTCTATTCCATACTGCAGTAAAAAAGGACTCACTACAAATAGCCAAAACCCAACCAACCCCAAATTTGTAAAGCACCAATATTTTTTTTGATGATATGATATAAAAAGTATAGATTTACTGAACAAACAAAAATAAAAATAACTAAATAAAAACACTTACCGTACCACCAAAAGAAAACATGAAAACAAAATAAATTAAAATTCTAATAGAAACATAAAAATATTAATCAATTTATTTTAAGAAATAAAACCAAATAGGTATTATTAGCATAAACAAGCCCAAGATAATCAGAAAGCAGTATACCTCATTAAAAAAATTTTTAATAAACAAAACAATACCCTTAAATAAACTCTAACGCTGTCATAGATACCTCATTCGAAATATGATAACCAATCAAAAGTGTAGGAAAATGAGTAACGCGAAACCCAAAATCATAATAATAATAGAATAATAAATGATAGCGAAAAAGAACGTTGCACAAAAACCTTAAAAATGTAAGCGACATATATGTAAAACATTAAATGAAGGATATAAAAATATTCTCTGAATAATAATAAAGATGAAAAGTGCATGTGAAAATTAAAACAAAGCTGAGTAATGAATGCAAGATAATATAACATGAAAGTTTCTGTAAACAGTAATAATATGAAAATCAGGAGATAAGTAATATATTAATAAATATAGCAATAAGACTAAATAAATATTGTAATAAACCCAGATAATTTGAAGCCAAATGAGTGGTTAAAAAATTAGTTGTTGGTAATATAACAATGATATAAATCGTGATATAAAAACGATGTAGAAAGCGGGAAAAAAAATTGTTAAGAAATGAAGTTTTCTCTACGGTCCGAACTAAATGAAAGTTTGAGACCATATCTAAATCGAAATTTCCGAAAAGTAAAGTTTTCTCTACGGTCCGAACTAAAAGAAACTTTGAGACCATATCAAAATCGAAATTTCCGAAAAATAAAGTTTTCTCTACGGTCCGAATTAAATGTAACTTTGAGACCATAACAAAATAACAAGGAAAAACATACTTCATAAAAACAAGTCGAAAGCCGCTAGTTTATAAGAATCGCTCTTATGCTTATATGTATATGCATATGAATCCTTTAATGAAAAATTCAATTACACATGATAAACACATATAGATAACATACAAATCTGTATCTACATTTCAACAACATATCTATTAAAAGAAAATATTATCTAAATAAGGATGAGTTCAAACAAAGATAGTTTATCTATGAAAGAACAAAAAGCATACAAAAGATGTAAACAGACTATATGTGCATAAGGGTGTATAGGTGTAATGTGTAAGTCTGTGCTGTTTATGTCGTTCAGTAGAGTCTTGTATTGTTAGTAACCAGCGTAAAAGATTTGTCTCTGAACCAAACCAAGCTAGCCCAGCCATACTCCAGAAAACCATGATGGATTAAACACCTATGCATGGATTTATAACTGACTTATGACTAAAAAGCCAGCCCAGGCATCTTCCACAGACAAAAATCCTCTTTCGCGGTGACAGTAATTGCGATTAGAAAAATAGTCTTGCTCGATGACCGTAACACTAACCCTTACGGGCTAGGCCCAATATTATTTAAAAACTTTGGCATAAGATCGAGTTAATAAGATAAGAGTTATTTTAATTGTTTAATTGGCAGGTGATTGAAGATTTATTTTAATTGGCAGGTGATTGAAAATTTATTTTAATTGGCAGGTGATTGAAGATTTATTTTAATTGGCAGGTGATTGAAGGTTATTTTAATTGGCAGGTGATTGAAGGTTATTTTAATTGGCAGGTGATTGAAGGTTATTTTAATTGGCAGGTGATTGAAGGTTATTTTAATTGGCAGGTGATTGAAGGTTATTTTAATTGGCAGGTGATTGAAGGTTATTTTAATTGGCAGGTCATTGAAGGTTATTTTAATTGGCAGGTCATTGAAGGTTATTTTAATTGGCAGGTCATTGAAGATTTATTTTAATTGGCAGGTGATTGAAGATTTATTTTAATTGGCAGGTGATTGAAGATTTATTTTAATTGGCAGGTGATTGAAGATTTATTTTAATTGGCAGGTGATTGAAGATTTATTTTAATTGGCAGGTGATTGAAGAGTTATTTTAATTAAAAGTAATTAAATAAATAAGAGCTTTTACAAAAAAAATAAAATACAAAACAAAAATATTTACTTTTAAGTATATATATTTATTTAAAAAATTAATATTTCTACATTTATTTACAAATAAACTAATTATAACAATTGTTAATTTTGTTTACTTATATCATAAAAATATATGACATATTTTTCCAATTAATCTAAAAAAAAATTAATTCAAAAAAAGGTGACTCTTAATATGGATCATTGCAGGCTATTACCATCTTGTTATTCATAGTCATAGTCATTCATAGTAAATGGTGAAAAAGGTTACTGCAGCTCTAAGTTTATGATTAAATTTATAATTGTAATTAACATTATAACTATAATTGTAATGTAAAACAATAATATACAAGGGGAGGGGGTAGAGGCTTTTTGGTTTTTCTAACCAGACCCCCGTTAATAAATTTTCAAGAAGTTTTAGTTTTACTAAAGATTTAGTTTTTTTTCACTTAAGAGTATTTTCTCTCAAAAGCAAATGCAGACTCTAGTGTAGCAAATACAGACTGCAGTGTAGTAAATACAGACTAAACTAATTAATTTAGATAAACATGTTAATAACCAAAGTATCTCAATATTATAAATGCTTAAAACTACAATTTTCTTCTTGTGTTTTACATGTTCTTAAAATTTTAAAGGTTTTTTTAAACTCTTATGACCCTCCTATTTACAAAAGTCTCCTAGGGTATGTACTACAAAATTTATATGCATAAAATAGGGAAATATCCAATAAAATAAACAAATTGTATATCTTTATTACAATAAATAGTATAACAAAATATCTAAAATATATATATTTTAAAAAAATTAACCAATATTAAAAGATTTAAAAAAAAAAAAATTATTGTCAGTTTTGTTTTTCTATATCACATAAATATTTAAAATTTAAAATAAAAAAAGAAATGGAGTTATGACATGACAATACATAAGAAAAAAATTAATCTTATATAAAAACTAAAAATGTTTCTTGGCTTTTTGTGAATGATTAAAAACAGTTGTTGAACTTGATTTAAAAGAATGAATAATAACTCATTCTTTTAAATCAATGTAAAAATAAATAATTAAAACAAAGCTGCTAATAAAAAGTTAAAAAAAAGTATTGACAAAGTAGTATATTCCAAAAAAAGATTCAACGAATTTTGGTTGAATCTTTGATTCAACAAAAACTGAACTAAGATTTAGTTTTATTAAATCAAAAACTTAACCAAGGTTGAGTTTTGATTGAATAGTCACATGATAATTTTTCCCTTTCACTAGTCGTCAATTCAAAATCAATATCCTCAAAAATTGCACTGCTGTAAAAATATTTCAAAAAATAAAAATATTTTCCATCTTTTGAATAAGTTAGCAAAATATTTTTTTCTATCACATATGGATTATGACTAAATGCAGAAAAAAGTCAAATATTTATATTTGACTTTAGTTTGTTTATTTTGTTTATTTTATATTTATAATTTTTTTGTCAAATAATTATAAACCTGTATAGTACCATCAAAAAGAAACAAAAAGTATTTTTGTTTTTGTGGTACATTTTATTAGAATTCACTTAATATATCATGTTGTGAAAAATAATTGCAAAAATTCTCTAATTTATTTTTTTAATACACAATAATATATAT